CCTGCCCTCCCTCCACCAAAAAAACCCAAAACCTCTCAGGTCATCCAAATTCTCATTCTTCTGACATGGGCTGCCAGCCTGAGGAACTGCTTCAAAAACCATTTTCACAAGAGAGAATGTTTGCAAGATTGTGCAGAAATTGTTTCAAACCCTGCCAGTAATATCTGACACACAAGAGGTTGTCGTAGGTATAAAATATTTCAGAGATGGAGGATTTCAGAAGCTCTCTAGCATTTGGCAACATCCTGTAAATTTTAAGCTTTCGCTTTAAATAGTGTTTCAGTTGGCAAGATACAGCTGTTTATGTTTTAATAGCTTTGCTGTTGTGTTTTCCTACACAGCCTTAAGGAGAATTGATACCAGCCAATCAGCAGCAGCCACAACAGTGTGAATTTTTTTTCTTCTTTTCCCCATACGTGCCCCCTATTCATTCCCAAATAAGAGATTTTATTTTACAGCCTAACTGTACAGATTGGACCTCACTGGTCCAGTTTCTGTGGGATCTGGGTGGTCCCGAATTAGGGGATTTGCCAGACATGGGAAGGTCCCTCTTCTTCTGACCCATGCTGCCACTGGGTTAGGGTGCCAGCCTGTCCCCAGCCTCTCTAGGTGCTGCTGGGGCCAGAGCACCATGGCCAGAACTCCGCAGCGAAATCAGAGCTTTGCAGCCATCTGGCTCTGTGACTGGGGCCAGAGCTCCTTGGCCGCCATTGGGGCAGAGGTATTTTTGGCAGAAAAGCCTGAAGAGTTTTTCTTAGAGGCGGACCAAGTGTAGCTACAATAGAGTAGAATATGATACAGGCTGGGTGAAAACAGATAGAAAAATGACATTTTTCCACTCAATAATACAGCTGAGTAATCAAGTATTTTTGTCCTGCACAGGAAAACACTACTGTGAGCTTTTGGAAAACTAGATCTCAGATTTCAAATGAAATAGCAAAGGTGTAAGGTAAATCAATCTCTGAAACATACATAAGCTGCATCAGACTGTTCTCTACAGATGGAAGGTTTCAAAAGTACCTTTGTGACTTTGAAAATTCCACTCTCCTCTTCCAAGGCATACCAGGAAGGGCTAAAAATAAAGTTTTCAAATGTCGTCTTAGGGCTAGAGTCACAAGGAGGACATGGGTCTCTTCCCAGATGGCAGCCAGTGAAGCAAGGCCCTTCCTAAGGATTGACAGGTACTTAGGGCCCAGCTCCTAATGCATAACTTCTATTGGATGCTGACTGACACATGGGAGGGAGGTGCCTCTCTTCTATACTGAGTCTCAACTGAGAGCTCTTTCCTAGAAGTCAGTCCCTAATCCAGAGCAGCCCCCTTTCTCACCAAAAAAAAAAAAAAGTCTTGAGCAAGGTTATTATCCGATAGTCAGGAGGAGAGCAACTAAACACCTGGTGGCTACGTCTACACTGGCATGATTTTGCACAAGAACTCTTTTGCGGAAGAGTTCTTGTGCAAAAACTCTTCCAGAAGAGAGCGTCTACACTGGCATGTGCCTTTGCGCAAGGGCTGTGCTTTTGCGCAAGAGCATTCATGCCAGTGTAGACGCTCTCTTGCATAAGAAAGCTCTGATGGCCATTTTAACCATAGGGCTTTCTTGCGCAAGAAATTCATGTTGCCTGTCTACACTGGCCTCTTGCGCAAGAACAGTTGCACAAGAGGGTTTATTCCTGAGCGGGAGCATCATAGTCCTTGCACAAGAAGCACTGATTTCATACATTGGAATATCAGTGTTCTTGCACAAGAACTCGTGGCCAGTGTAGACAGGCAGCAAGTTTTGGCGCAAAAGCGGCTGCTTTTGCGCAAGATCGCACCAATGTAGACACAGCCCTGGGCTATGTCTACACTGGTGGCTTCTTGTGCAAGCACTCTTTTGCGAAAGTTCTTGTGCAAAAAATCTTCCACAAGAGCATGTCCACACTGCCATCTGCTTTTGCACAAGAGAGGCTATGGCAGTGTGGATGCTCTCTTGTGCAAGAAAGCTCTGATGGCCATTTTAACCATAGGGGCTTCTTGCACAAGAAATTCATGTTGCCTGTCTACACTGCCCTCTTGTGGAAGAGCTCTTGCGCAAGAGGGCTTATTCCTCGTACGCAGAGGAATAACTCGTCTGGAAGAAGCCCTGTTTTACAATGCTAGACTGCAAATTTACTTGCGCAAAAACGCTTGTGCAGTGTAGATAGCAGGCAAGTTGTTGCACAAGAAGCTGCCAGTGTAGACATAGCCCTGCAGTAGGCCTGCTTCCACGGACACAGGTCTTGGGCTGTAGGACTGCCAGGAGGAGGGTTCCATAGCCTGGGTCCAGCCCAAGTCTGCAGGTATAGGCTGCAATTAAATAGCCCTATAGTCCAGCCAGCCTCAGGTGTTTATGTGCAATGGAGACAGGGTGGCTGTGTCTAGACTGGCAAGTTTTTCCACAAAAGCAGCTGCTTTTGCAGAAAAA